CACGTTCCAGGTGGCACTACGTACAGTGCATCTGCAGAGAAGACGTTTCACACCGCTCCAGGATATCCCTACTCATACAGGCGTCCCTCACCTTGCCCCTCGTCCACTTATTAGCCAGACCAGCAGGTAGTCAGCAGGCAGGCCATGCATGGTGTGACCAGGACTAGGACAACAGCAGCAGCGTGTCCCTTCACTTCACAAACGAGTCTAGAACGTGGTGGGACTTACTTGTCTTCTGTCAAATGGCGAAACACTGGTCGATCGACGAGCATTTGTTTCTTTCTTTGTGCAGCAGCTTACTCGCACTAGGTGGGAACCTAAGCTTGGGCATCGCAAAGTGTAGACGCCATTTCGGTGTACATATACTTGTCCGAGGTCTTAGTCAGGTCATCAAGCCAGGCAGCTACCTACCACCTGGTGGTCAGCGTCAGCAATTGCGACTGCTACTTACTAGGTACCTTAGGTAGGCAAATCCGCCAGAACAGCCGGCGTTGCCCGTTCGCCAGCCAGCGCGGGCCAAAGCATGCAGCAGCAATGGTTGTCCGGAACTTCGACCTTCCAGGTTCCCGAAGGTCATTTCCAGGGGCGCGCTACAGGATCACCAACCACACGAGAGCCAGCGGGATCGGGTACCTTACATCAGTTTGGGCAGTTGCCGCCGCTAGAAGCGATAGCAGGAACCACCAGACCACCACCCTTCGACCAGAACCCCACCGCACCTGACCGCTAAAGTGGTGGCTCGTTTGTGAGCGGAGCCAGTGTCACAGTGACAGTGGCCACAGAGGCTCCAGTGGCTCCGGTGACACGAGGGGCCCTCCCCCTGTCGGATGCCCTGCTCGTGCATTAAGGTCGATTCCCGTCATGGCTTCATGTCCTTTGGTGAGCTTCCGGACCCTGATTATCGTCGGTCGGCGCACTCTTCGGCGCCGAGGGTTTGACCCTTTCACTCTTCTCTCGTACATTAATTCCCGAGTCTCACAAGCCGTCTACTGTCCGCTCATCGTCTTGGTCAAGTATGGTCCCCGGCCGCTATGATTCGACGGGACCTCTCCGAGAATAGTAGGTCGAGACAGCATGCCATGCGACGTGCCGTCGATTTATGACTGGCGCAGGAGGCGGCTCGGAGAGAATGCCCACCGTGTAGCGTCCCGCGTGCCTGACCAGGTGCGACGAGACCATGGCAAATATAGGGATCGCGGTCGGAGAAATACTTCAGATAGCGTGTGGCAGCCTGCACCAGCCAGCCTGCGCCAGCCAGCATCGTAAATCACTTCTCTCTTCCCATACAGACGACGCATCTGTCTTGCCGTCTGTTGATCTTTGACCCTGGATCACAGCGGGTAAAAGCAAGGGAAACACGTACAAGTCCAATACTAATAAAGCAAGATGGAAAATCTTGTTCACACCTGACGCGAAACTTCTTTGAACACGGTCGTGTCGGCCACCAGTATTAGCTCCTTGCGAATCGCGGCCCACAAATCCCCGGTACCTTGTCTCGTATCCCTAGCACCGCTTGGACCGACTGGTCCTGCTCATCACTCGAGTCGCGGTGCGAGATTGTCGAACCCAGTGTAAGATCAAATCAGATCCGTAGTACACGAGAATCCACTCTTCAGGTCTCGGTACAGCACAGTCAGCCAGCCTCAACCTCGACTTTGGATCCGCGACTTCCAACCAGTTATGTCACCATGTCTGTGTTGTGTGCCGTCTTCCACGTCGCCTCATGACCTTGAACCCCCCACCATCGGGACGTTGATCTGGCAATGAAGTCTCCCTCCCAAGCTTCTCATCACTGCCATTGGCAGACGGACGAACGACACGAAATGAGTTGAGCGGCGCTCAATCTGCCGCCTGTCGTCGGCGGCCGGCACTCATTCGCTCAGCTCTGCACAACTCGCTGGCTCTTCATTAGCCGCAGCTACCATGCGGAAAAGAGCGGCTGTGACCGTAGCATCTTCGGAGAGAACAATTTGACACCTGCCAGGAATACGGCGTTGTGGTGCAACCACGCCCGACCGACATTTGCCAGGGCTGCCAGTTACATGTACTTGCCCAGGACAGATTGGGACGCTCATTTGGTTTCCACAGGAACCCCTGAACAAGACGGCTCACCAAAAAGGACCAAAATTGGTGGACGAATGAATGGATGCAGCCTCTCCGACCAAAATGGTACGTCAACATCAGGACGCTGCTCGATTGGGTCTCGCGGATGCCGATCGCCATGTAATCACTTGCCTCGTCGAGCATACTTTTTCCAGAACCTCTCACATCTCAATCAGGTGAGAATGGCAAAAGGCATTATTCGAGGGTGCTATGGACCAGGTTTGTGCACAGAAGTATGGGCGAGGGATCCATCGGCACATCTCTCTCGATCACGGGATGCATGGAATGCGCCGTAGAGAACAGTCCGAGGAGCATCCACCACGAAGACACGCCGACCCCATGCGCGTGCGCCATCTGGATCAGGAGAACGTCGAGCCAGGAGCAGCAAATGATCTCCATGTCTGTTCTGGTCTGCTGCGGACGAAACATCAATCAACCCACTCTCACCGGATTTCATGCATCAATGGATCGAAGCCTAGCCTGCCTGGGGGCCTGGCAAGTCCGGGGGAGGGAGTTGATATCGAGACGACCTTCCTCAAACATGGCAATGTCTGTGGTGATCGCCATTTGGTTGGCAGACCTGTCGCTGACCCAGGCCCCTCTTGACCATCTTGACTCTGAATAGTCTCTCATGGTTCTATGGTTAAAAAAAAAACCCCAAAAAAAACCCGCATCAGCTAGACGCTCGTCTCCGGTACTGGGAATCAAGCATGCCATGATGAATGCGATGGCAGACATGAACCGTTCATCGACGATGGCGATCAAGACGATACTGCAACATATTCAATAGTTTGTCAGCCTTCCTTCAAGTGTGTCCACTCGAAAGAAAATAAGCAGGGGCCAGTGCTCAGCTGGGAGATCACGGAGAGTATCCAGAAGACCAAAGGTACATTGGTGACTTCACGTGATCTCCGACATATCCCGGCGGCACGGCCTCACGAGATGCGAAGCGGACGGAGACGGAAGAAAGCAGACGGTGGCCGAACGGTACGGGCTTGGGATCATCCCCCCGATCCTGTGCCATCGGTGAGAACAATTTCCCTGGCCGTCTGATCAGCAAAGCAGCTCGATGATCTCCGGCCGGCTAAAAACGCAAAGATGCCTCGTCCGGCGCCCAGACGACGGGATGGCAGAGGAGGAGGAGGAACGTCTTGCAGAAATAGTGGGCTTCGGGGGGGGGGGGGTGGGATAAGATGACGAGAGAGGCCATGGGCGAACCGTGATGGTCTAGGCGATGCCAGCGCACCCCGTTCACATGCATGCAGAATGGGAGAACAGCGGTCGTGGCGGAAGGACGGCGCAGACGGCCGCCCGAAGCCGAGATGCAAGGTGCAAGGCAAACCCAGGACTCAGCGCTCGGCATGCAGTGTACAGTGTGCAGCGCAGATAGGGAGTGCACCTTTTTTGTTTGTTTGTTTGTCCTCTAACGCACATATGAGTGCTGATTGTGTTACGAGAGGCAAACAACGGCTGGGCACCGTCACAGCCCTCGACTCGGCGTGTTGCATGGGGAAGGGACAATCACAGGAACCACAAGGGCAGTTCCTGCATCGGGTCAGCTCGCAGGTCAGATGCATTCGCGCGCGCACCTTGCACGAGGGACGAAGACGAATTACATGTAGGAGGGAGCATGAGCGACCCGCAAGCATCCGAAAGATCCGCCCAGGCGAGCCGAGGAGAGCAGTAATTTACAGTACAGGACTGGAGTAGGGCACAAAGAACAGAGCTGCCAGCAGGACAGTGGAGGAGGGCGGCGGGTCTGGTGGGATGAGGGGGAGGGTTCTCCCTCATTGTTGGGAACTGGGGGGGTTTGTGGGCTAAACGAGGGGCAGAGCCTGGATCCTGGGACTTCCATCCTCGACCACACGGCCTCGCGAATTGGAGCGAGCATCAAGGTCTCCTACTTCTCAAGGGGGGCGGGACATTAATTCAATGGCCTCAATGCTTGCTAGAAGGGATGTTGGTGAGCTGCCATCTGACCATGGCTCTGAGGGAGGGAGGGAGCAGTAGCGCAGGGAAAGCGCTGGCTAAAGCGTCCAAACCGAAAATGCCCCTCCTCGGCTCTGGCTCGCTCGCTCGCTCACTGCTGCATCGCGCGTCTACCTGCTGCCCTGCCCCTCACCTCACCTCACCAACGAAAACCGCGCTTGTCACGAGCGGACGACCCGGGACCCTGTTGTGTCCTGCACGCTACCCACTCCACATGGTATCGCGTTGCATAGGTTCCATGCTGCCCTTGGCCTTGCGTCTTCTCACCGCCCCTCTCATCATCTCTCGCTCGGCGCCGCGCGCGTCTTGCAGCGCATCCAACGGCTAGAGAACGACCATTAAGATGTCGGACGTGGCGTGCGCGATGTCCCGGGCAGTAAGTAGTACCTGGGTAAGGGGGCAGCAATGCTGCCTAGCGCGGCTCGCCAGATAACAACATGGTATTTGAAGTCGCGCATCCCACCCCTCTGGCCCGGAACCTTCCTTTCTCTCCCTTTCTTTACCAACACAACATCAGTCATCGTTGCCAGATCATTGCTCTCCAATTCACTCTCAGTCATCCCCCCACCACCCATCAACCTCGCACTCCAACTGCCTGATCACGCTTTCGAGTCGTGATCACCCCGTCGTCAAGACGTTTTCCAATCTCCTCAACTCGTAAGCCAAACCGCCATGGAGAAAAGCCCCGCCGAGGGGTCACTGTCACAAGTGAATCGATTTTTTTTTGGGACAAGCTGACACTTCTCTGCAGGACTCACCACCCGTTTGCAGGAGCCCGTTGCTCTGCCTCGCCCGGGGGATCAGCGGACTCGGCCAAAGAAATCTAAGGCCAGTAGCAGATCAAACAGCTACTCAATTCCACGAACCCATTCCCCACGCCAAGTCAAGCCATCCCAACCAAGTACACCATGGCTCCCCACGCTGAGGCTGATTCGGGCTCCCTGCACGGAGATGGACAATCCAACGGCCACCAGGCCGCTGTGGCTGCCACCGCCACCCGTGAGCTCTTCACTGTCAACTCGTCCAATGTGACGTACACGGACAACGAGATCCTGTCCAAGTACACCTATCGCACCACGGACGTCGCCAAGGACGAGAGCGGCAAGTTTGTCGTGACCCCCGTCGAGACCGTCTACGAATTCAAGACGGAGCGTAAGGTCCCCAAGACCGGCATGATGCTGGTCGGCCTCGGCGGCAACAACGGCACCACCGTGACGGCCGGCATCATTGCCAACCGCCGCGGCCTCACGTGGCAGACGCGCGAGGGTGTCCGGGCCGCCAACTACTACGGCTCCGTCATCATGAGCTCCACCATCAAGCTCGGCACCGACACCAAGACCAGGAAGGACGTCAACATTACCTTCTCGGACATCCTGCCCATGGTCCACCCCAACGACCTCGTCATTGGCGGCTGGGACATTAGCGGCCTCAACCTGGCCGAAGCCATGGACCGCGCCCAGGTGCTCGAGCCTACGCTCAAGCAGCAGGTGGCCAAGGAGATGGCCCAGATCGTGCCTCTGCCTTCCATCTACTACCCGGACTTCATCGCCGCCAACCAGGAGGACCGCGCCGACAATGTGCTGCCGGGCACCAAGGCCTGCAACGAGCACGTGGAGCAGATCCGCAAGGACATCCGCGACTTCAAAGAGAAGAACGGCCTCGACAAGGTCATTGTCCAGTGGACGGCCAACACGGAGCGCTACGCGGAGCTCATCGCCGGCGTCAACGACACGGCCGACAACCTCCTCAAGGCCATCGAGCAGGGCCACGAGGAGGTGTCGCCGTCGACCGTCTTCTCGGTGGCGTGCACGCTCGAGGGCGTGCCCTTCATCAACGGATCGCCGCAGAACACGTTTGTGCCGGGCGCCATTGAGCTGGCCGAGAGGCACGGCGCCTTCATTGGCGGCGACGACTTCAAGTCGGGCCAGACCAAGATGAAGTCGGCGCTCGTCGACTTCCTCATCAACGCCGGCATCAAGCTGACGTCGATTGCGAGCTACAACCACCTCGGCAACAACGACGGCAAGAACCTCAGCTCGCAGAAGCAGTTCCGCTCCAAGGAGATCTCCAAGTCCAACGTTGTCGACGACATGGTCGAGGCCAACACGGTTCTCTACAAGGAGGGCGAGCACCCCGACCACTGCGTCGTCATCAAGTACATGCCGGGCGTGGGCGACAACAAGCGCGCGCTCGACGAGTACTACGCCGAGATCTTCATGGGTGGCCACCAGACCATCTCAATGTTCAACGTGTGCGAGGACTCGCTGCTGGCGTCGCCGCTCATCATTGACCTCGTGCTCGTCGCCGAGATGATGACGCGCATCCAGTGGAAGGCCACGTCGGTCGACGAGGCCGCCGGCAAGGACTTCAAGGGCTTCCACAGCGTGCTCAGCGTGCTGAGCTACATGCTCAAGGCGCCCCTGACGCCCCCCGGCACGCCCGTCGTCAACGCCCTCGCCAAGCAGCGCTCGGCTCTGACCAACATCTTCCGCGCCTGCGTCGGTCTCGAGCCGGAGAGCGACATGACGCTCGAGCACAAGCTCTTCTAGGAGCTGCGTGACTCTGACATGGTTGCGGAATGGGCCTCAGACTGTCCATCGGCCACGGTGTGCGTATGCGATGCTTGGTGATTGTCGCTTCTTACAAGCGTGTCCAGTCTTTACCGTTGGCAGATTGACTCAAGATCGACAAAATAAAAACAACAAGACAGTCATTACCGTATCTTTCTGTTCCTACAATCCTGTTGTGTCTGACTTGCATGTTTCGTGATGTGTGTGCGAGCCCTGTCGCATGACAAGATGAAGTCAGTGAGGGGGATGATTTGACAGGTGCCAGACAAGTGACACGCCATTGGAGGTCGAGTGCGGCCCCCAACAAGTGCCTGACTTCTTGCTTGGGTGAATCATCTAAATGATGATTGGCGAGGCTCGACCGGGGTCGTCGCTGGTTGTGTTTGCACAACGAGGGGGCTTCGTATGAACAAGTGAACAAGGAGTACTTAGATTGCAAAGAGATTGAGATGGAGATTGCCGCAGGCTGTGGGCAATGGGGGGAAGAAGCTTTTTGCCAAGACAAGCAAGTGTAGCACACGCACATGCCATTTGGCCTTGCCGTTCCTTCTTGTCTCATGTTTCCTGAGCCATCCTCCTTCCTCGCGCGCAGTGTTTCGTGGTGAAGGAACGAAAGAAAGAAAGAGAGAGACGACGAAAGCGTCGACACACGACAATGTTGCTTCCCAAAGTACTGGGAAGGGTCGCCCTGGCCGCCACTGCAGGTACGTGAGCCGGCCTCACCTTATTTGCTGGGTCCTTGGGGTGTAGCTTCCCCTGGAAATCCATCCCGCCCCCCCTTCTCCTTCTCCTTCCCACCCAACGAGCATCAGCGCCTCTCGCTGTTGCCGTCTGTTCCGGTGCCTCCAGGGCCCAATCCAGGTTCACGGGTCGCACGGCACATGCAGTTCTTCCCTTGATCTTCTGTAGACGACACATTCGTTCCTTGTTTCATTGCACCGGCTGACAGGTTAGCCCTCTCGATATACCCACCGCCTGTCAACGCCCAAGAGACGGGCCAGTCCGTCTTCGTGTCTCCCGACAACCTCGTGACCTTCGCCTTCGCCGCTCCGACCGACCACAATCGCGATGTCTACTTCTCTCTGCGCGTTCACCAGAGCGTCACCTGGGGTGCCGTCGGCCTTGGGTCAGACGACATGCCCAATTCCCTGATTCTCATGCTCTACCATGATGACGAAGGCACCGGCGTCACCTTCTCGCCTCGCATCGCCTTTGGCAACTACGAGCCCGAGTACTATTCACACATGCGCTGGGAGGTGCTCGACGGCACTGGCATCCAAGGCGACTACTTGGTCTTCAACGCACGCTGCACCGACCACTGCCGCACCTGGCTGCACGGCTCCCTCGATGTCTTTGATCACGACCAGAAGGCCATCTGGGCCGTTGGTCCCGACGGCAGCCTGCGCTCCGACGACATGGACGCGCCGCTGCCCATGCATAGGCAGTTTGGCGGCTTCGGGATCGACATGGGCCGCACCAACAAGGTCAACGCCACGAGCATCAGCGCCGACGCGAAGAACATTGGCACCGAGACGAGATTCCACCAGCAGAGCCATCGCGATCTCAAGTCACGATTCCACGCCATCTTCATGATCATGTCCGTCTGCGTGCTGCTGCCGGCAGGCATATTGTGCCTGCGCGCCGGTCAGATGGTGCGCTGGCACGGCATCATCCAAAGCGTCGCCCTCGTCTTTGCCATTGTCGGTGTCAGTCTAGGCATTGTCACGAGCTTCCTGTATCAACGTGTAGGTTTAGGCTCCTGTCGACCCCACCTCGAGGCAACCATGTCACTGACCTCAACCAGTCTCGCGGATTCAACGACAAGCACCAGATCATCGGCCTCGTCGTCTTTGGCCTGTTTTTCGGCCAGTTTGTACTCGGCATCCTGCATCACTTGCAGTTTAAGCGCACGAACAAGCCCACCAAGCTGCAAACCCCGCACCGGTGGACTGGGCGCATTATACTCTTCGTCGGCACCTTTAATGCATTCCTGTAAGCCTTCCCGCTTTGACCTTGATTGCATAGACTAGATAGACTGACCATAGCAGCGGCTTCTCGTTCGCACTCAACCGCCAAGAGGGTTATTTTCTCGCTGCTCTTGTCATCGCCGTATGCGGATTCTCGCTTTTCTTCATGTTTGGCCAGGGCTTCCTCCGCCGCCGCCAGCAGCGCCACACTAACGGCCCCTTTTACGGCGGACACCCTTCGGGTCAAGAGCCGTGGCGCCACCAGGGTCAGGCGCAGCCCGGCGGCGGCAACGCAGGCTACCAGCCTGGGTATGGCTTTGCCGGCCACGCGGCGCCAGCAGGATATGCCCCGCCCGGCGGCCCTCTCTCTCCCGGTGGCTATGCCGCGCCACCGCCGTATGAAGGACCGCCGCCCGCACAGGGATCAGGCGCCAGCATTGGGTTGTCGACCATGAGCCCAGCCTCTGGCAGAGATCGGGAGAGGGACCGTAAGGATGGTGATGGGGGTGACCTCGGACCAGTGCAGACTCCGAGAGAAACGTTGTAGGCTTGAGCCAGCAGAAGGCATTGGGATTTTTTTTAGCATGAATACAGACACTAATTGGCATATCATGTACTTTGTCTTCGTATATTGCCACGTGCTTTTCCTACTTTTGGAAATCTAGTTTTAGCTACTTCTTCTTTCTTTTGTCAGCGTGCATCGCAAGGATATACATGAATCGAGGGCTATGGACCGCCGGATGCTACCAGAATGTGCAAAGCCAAGAGTATAGACAAAAAGAGGGACCAGCCACCACGCCGCCACCACGTCACGCCCGATTGGCTCAGTCCTCCTCGTCCCCCTCGAGCCAAATCTCGTGGCCGTCGCCCTCGCGCAGGAACCAGCTCGCGACGAAGCCGAGCACGGCAAAGGCGGCGAGGCCCCACCACACGGCGCCGACGACGCCGGCCTCGAGCCCGACGCCGTAGGCCCAGCCGCCGAGGACGGGGCCGACGGTGCGGGCGGCGCTCGACACGCTCTGCGCGAGGCCGTGCACGGTGCCGAGCACGCTGGGGTGGGGCGCGCAGTTGTTGACGAGGATGGTCTGGCCCGGCAGCGCAAAGGTGCGGCCCGTGACCTGCAGGGCGAGGACGGCGGCGAGGGCGAGCCAGATGACGGGGCCGGTTTTGGGGCCGGTGCCGGTGCCGTCGCCGCTCGTGCTTGTGCCGGTGCCGGTGTCAGGGCCGGCACCGCCGGGCGCGCGGGCCGACGAGGACGGCACGAGGGCGAGGTACGGGACCAGGGTGTAGGCGAGCGGGAAGAAGGGCAGCGAGGCGCGGAAGGAGCGCAGGGTGCCGAGGCGGGCGGACAGGCGCGGGTAGAGGAGCAGCTGCAGGGCGAGGCCGATGACGCCGAGGGTCGCCATGGCGAAGCCGATGGACGAGGGCGGCAGGCCGAGGCCGCCGGTGAAGCGCCAGGGCGGGGTCGCGGGCCCGGTCGAGACGGGCGTCGAGAGGAAGACGAACCAGAGCGAGTTGAAGGTGCCAACGTGCAGCGCGAGGAGGAAGTGCGACGTGAAGGTGAAGAGGACGTTGCGCGTGAAGAGGCGGCGGAAGGGCAGGCGCGCTGTGTAGCGCGGGCGCGGGCGCTGACGACGGGGAGGAGGAGGCGGCGGCGGCGGCGGCGGCGATAAAGGACCGTGGCTGTGGTCGTGGTGCGAGCCCAGGGGGCTGTCGGGCTCGAGCTCCACGTCCGTGTCTGTGTCCATGTCGGACAGCGTGCTGTGGTTCCGCGAGTGCGAGTGGAGGGGCCGGTAGCCGGCGGTGCTGCGGGCGCGGCGCAGGCGAGCGAGCAGCCGCCGCGACCAGGCTGTCAGGGCTAGTCTGAACCGGATGCCGGCGTCTGGGCCGTGGTCGTGAAGGGCGTCGAGAGTCTGTGCTTTGTGTCAGCAGAGGGCCACGACGAGAAGTGAACGAACAGCGGGAGAGAGAGACAAAGAAGAAAAGTAAGAGGGCATGGCACGAACCTCTTCGAGGAAGAGCCAGATGGATGACATGGCCGTGAAGAGGAACACGGCGCTGACGAGATTCGGCGCGGCATACGGGTACTTTTTGAAGAACTCGACTTGGCCAAAGACGCTGGGATAGCTGCCGGCCGGGTCACTCAACAGGCCGCCTAGGATGGGGCCGATGATGACGCCGACGTTGAAGGTCATGGGTAAGATCAAGAAGGCTCTCGACTGGTACTTCTTGTCGCGTATGATCTCGCTGATCATGGTCCTCATGACGCCGACGTTGCCGTTGGTCACACCACCCAGCAGCCGGAAGCACAGGGCCTGGGTGAATGTCGTGGAGAAGCCAAAGCCGATAGCCGACACGCAGGTGCCTCCGAGTCCGCAGAGGATGACCATCTTACGACCAAAGACCGGCGAATCGGCAAGGCGCCCCCACAGCAGGGCCGTCGTGAACTGGGCGGCGGTGAAGGAGGCGTGGAGGACACCAGCCTGTGAGGCGATGACGGCATCGGAGAGCGAAGGGTCGAACCATTTGAGCTGGTAGAACATGTACGCCGTCAGGGACGTGTGGACGAGGGGCTCGCTGAGGCGGGCCAAGGTGATGACGAGGAGCTGGTTCTTGCGGGGAAGATCCCGCCAGGCAACGGGCTTGGAGGGCCCATCTGGCGGGCCGACGACTCTCGGGGCGGGGCTCGGATCCGGCGCCGATGTTGGAACGACGCCCGTGCCAGGGTCACGGAGTGTCTCATCGAGCTGCTGTTGGATAGTCTCATCATCCGAGTCTTCTTTTTCCGAGTCTGAGTCAGGGTCCCGTCGGCAGGGCACCCGATCATATGCGGTGTGACTCGTTGCCATGAGAGAGCGCGTCACTCACTCGCTGTCTGGAGAGACCGGTGGAGTGGCGGCAGGCGTGGAGGGGACAATCAATCGAAAAGAGATCGAGAGGTAGAGAGAAATGAGGGTGAGAGCAAGCAGGATGCGAGGTGCTTGGGTGGATTCGTCATCGGAAGAGAGAGCC